AGGCGGATTACACCCTGGAAAACTGCCAAATCACAGCAATTATTTGATGACTCATTCCGCGATAAACGTATGGGCGGAGAAGTGGGCGGGACACACGACCTTCGTACTTTCCTCAGCAGTACGCCCCTCCCATTACGGCAGAGAAGTGCGCGCCATAGGGAAGATACAATAGCTACGAGTCTCCACCAACTTTCCTGCCTCTCCGAATACTGCAAAATGCCCCTTTGAAAGTAAAACTCACGTCAGGCTCAGGGAAAAACAGCTTCGTGACGTCAATATTTGGCGCGAGTGGTACGACAATCTCATTAGGTAGGACACAAAGCGCGGCTACCTTAACACTTCGATAAAATTCGGTTTTCACAAAAATATGAACACTTGGTTACTGCATTCCAGCTCAGCATTAATCAAGCAATTCAGATATCGTTATTCACTGATTTAACAATTCCTAGTAGTAATGACTAAATAATTTCTCGGGAAGAGGGGCCTTTAAAGTACTCCTTTGGGCAACTAGAACTACCGTAATAAAAATTAGGACTATTTGTCTATGCGTCCAATTGGACGAGCAGAGGAGAGAACGAGAGACGAGCAGATCAGAGGAGAGGAGAGAGAGAGAGGAGAGAAGCGTCCCAGATGTCCGGGCGCAAACGTAGTCGAAGGAAAACATTTTATGATTGACGGCAGTCAAAGATCTGCCATTAAGGACCCTACGAATGCGCCACCCCACATTAAGGATATTACACGCCACAAAATCACTTATCCGGAGTATTACTACCATAAATACAAACAAAACAAGCAATGTCCTCAAACCTGACTATTCATAACACTTCTGATCGCATTCATCAGTCCGGGAAGTTCAACCATTTCACCCATTCCGGTCAGATTGAAATCGATTTTCTAGAATAATCAATTATTAACCGGTAGTGATCGAACTTCGGTAGCCATCTAAAATTCTTGAAGTCAGGCACTCACACCGGCATTCCAAAAAAGAGCCTGAAATGCCTCCTACCAGTAGAAGAGACTATGCGCAACGCAGTGAGTTTTAAGACAGCCCGTAACGTAAACTCCCAGAAAACTGAAATGCATCGAAAATAGGGAAGATGCTTCTTGCAAACATCATGTACAAGCGAGATTGCGCCGTGCATTCGCTTTGTAGACACGATCAGGACTGTGAAGAACAACGAAACAGCCTTGACAGAAGAATTTTGAGCAGCCGTTCCCAGCACAGAATAACTCTTGTGAGCCGTGACTCGCGGCCACTTTGACAGTGAGCTGCACTTGACACCTTCGCGATGCCACTGCGACTGCGGGCAACTCGTCTGGATCATCCAACTCTTGGGCTGGATAGGTCGTCAGGAGATGGCAGCATGGAGCCGGATTCGGAAAGACAACCTGCTTCGCCATACCCCACCACCCCCCACTTCATTAGGCTATCATTCATACATTGCGCATTCCAGCCTTCTAATTGTGGTTTGTATACTACATGGGTACTCTTTATTCGAAGTGGTGATACTTCATCGTCCCACTTACCATTAGTTAGGGTTGCCCAACAAAAGGTCCGGACTACTAATTCCGTTTGTACGTAGTATGCCAAGGCGCGCCAAGTTATGGCGCTATATATCCCCTTCATTCATTCATAGTAGATTTTCCTCCCATGCTTCACAAACAGTAAACCCTCGAAAATAGTTGTTATTTACTTTATCGCTACGATTTTGAGGGGCTGAGCATAGAGAATAAGGGCGCGCATTCACATTTGACGACTTAGTACCATACTGCCAAGGGTATGAGTGTGATTGGGAGCAGGGATGCTATGGGCGAGACTAGGCCTCACAAGTTCTCGCTAAGGCTGGGGAGGGATCACTGGGCGAGCATTATCTAAAGAGAAGAGCGCAGACGAACAGAAACGGCCCCTATTAGAACAACTCAGGGAACACGTTGTTGGGTTCCCCAACAAGGGAGCGGGGTGGTCGAATTGGGCTGAGAAAATTTTTTGATAGATTTTTCTTGCTTCAGGGACGTTGGAAGGGGGGAGGGTCGGGTTTGCTTGCTGTTGAAGGGATCGCATTTCCCTTGTGTGCTTTTGAGAGAGGTTGCTGACTTTTCATATTTTTTCCTGTTTCATGTGTACTATATGCGCTCCTCCTCCCTTCACCTACCCGGTCGACAGCAAAATTTTTGGGGAACGTAGGGAAATTTTCGGCTAATTCCAGACCGCAAAAAGTGGTAGAAATTTGGAGAAAACCTAAAAACGATAGAGGAGGGTCGCATTTTTCCTCCCGCTCGACAGCTCGATCAGGAGGGAACCAAGGGGAGGTCACAGAACTCCCTAAAAAGGGAGAGGATCTACCCCTACTCCCGCATCTTCCCTCTCAACTGTACTGGCACGCTTTCAGGAATCGTTTACTCTGAGGCTATGTAGTATACAGTTCAAAACATTACCTGAATACAATTCATACCACCGGTAAATCCACAACATGATACAGTAAAGTCTGCATCGCCAGCATATGCAACATCCATATCAACGATAATACGATCGCGCCCGACGTTTGTCGTATAAACCTGAAGCCACCAGTCAGCAAAAATAATCCGAGTTTTCTCCCTGAATCAGGGGAAATTCGTTCAACGCACCTTGATTCCTCCTACCCGACATGGTATGTCACCCATATCCATTTTGGTGAATTTGAAATTCTTGAACATCCCCGGCATCTGCGCCTGAAAACGCCATTGATTCCTTCAGTGCCAACGCAACTAATCAATATTAGGTTGTCGCATAAGTTCTTATACACGACTTTTTTGTAAATATCTCAAAAACGAACCAGCCTGGAGATTAGAGGTATGCACCATCACCATTCACTACTCGACGCCAGCGCTCAGGCAGCTTGTCGATTCCATCCTTCCAGAACGACGGAGGCTGGGACTTGAAGAAGTCGTCGAGCGCTT